AGTAAAATACCCTTTTTTTTGTCATATACCCTTGGTTTCATAAACCCTCCGGTTCATAAACCCTTAAAGGGTTTATGAATATTTATAGATAGGGCAAGCGTTTATTAGTCTACGCTTTTTATTTACAGTGAAGACCCTTGCTTTTTCCTTGATTAGGACCATTTTGGAAATAGCAGTGCAAGACTTTCGAGTTTTTTTTTTCATCTGTGTATTCTATTTTATCCACTGGACACCTTGTGCCAATGGATTTACCGAAGTCCAATACACTGTGAGACTTTGCGGTGTGCGTCCTTGCATTATCGACTATGCATTCAATCGTGTGATCTTTGTACTGTTCTTTGAACTCTAGCAGTTGAAGCACCCTCTCAAACTGTTCGAGTACGGTCATATTGTCAAAATAGGCGTCTAGTCCCGCCTGTATTGATGCAGTAGCACTGTGTTTTACATAGTTTATATCTGTATCAGCTGAAAGAATACGCATGAAAAACGCATTAGCATTGGATTCAAAAAGCTAAAATGGTTCACTAATAAGTCACCATCCAACTGAGGATGTTTAGCCAATGCCTTTTCGTATTCACTTTGAGAGAGACTGAAAAACGGTCCAGAGTTATGTTGAACTAAGAAATCAGACACCATATTTGATCTTCCCCTTCTCTTCGAATGGAATGGTGCTTCCTCTCCGAAGAACCATCTCTTCGCCGACACCTCCCCACTTTTAAAAGTGCTTTCGTCGTGAACTGAAATAAAGTTGATTGATATATTAAAATGTAATGCGAAGGAAAATAAACCGTGGAACTCACAAATCAAGATACAGGGCGGAGTTTGAGTTGACAGTTTCCATAGAGGTTTATCATCGTCTGTAACTGTGTAGTAAAAATCTTTTCGATCAAGGAAATAGTTGATGAACTGCTGAAGATGGTCAACAACGTCTATCCTCTCATGGCCCTCGAAGTAAGGCCTCTGAGAGTTTTTATTATATCGAGCACCCCAACGGCGTAAGTCTAGTCGACAAGAAGATAGAGATCGAATTAATGGACTTTCAGGATCTGAAATAGAAGTTCACTTATATAAATTATTGGAGTGTCGCAGCTAAGCGCGAAAAGCTCACCTTTTATTATATTCGTTGTTTCGTAAAACTTCTTATCGATAAATTTAGCAAGATCCACAACCGTGAAACTGGCAGACTTCTCTGAGCATCGTTCGAGGGTATATTGCTTGGCAGCATCTTCTAATTCTGGGAAGAAGTCATAAAATTCAGAGAAGTATCTGCCGCCATGATTCTCCCCCTGAAACTCGTCCAGGTCACCAGAGATAAACACTTCAGTCCATTTGTGTGACGTCTCAACTGTAAATGCTCCTGAAATATTACTAAAGCTGGTGAAAACACAAAAATAGCTGGTTTAAATAAGCAACTTACCCATTTGCCGTAAAAAATTATCGCAATTAATCCAACTCACGCCGAACTTTCTCAAAGTCATGTACACCAAAACGCTGAGATACTTCACCGGACATCTTAATTTACAGTGTTCGAACAAATCGGACATATCATCACCTGTAATTTTATCTTGGAATTTGCTTGACCTTTCTTGACTACTATCCGTAGTATCAACGTCGAATCCCCCTTCAGAGGAGCCACTGAAATGTTCACTTTCAAGACCTCGCTTCCGTAGAAAGGCGTAAGATATTGCTGTTGAATGAACTTGTCGTTTTGACTTTTGTGGCATCTTAGATGTTATTAAAGGTCAACCAAATCTGTCCCAGAACAATCTGAAACAGACAAAAATGAAAATAATACCTGGCAAAGTGGAAAAGTCCCCAACACAGTGGAAGTTTGATTCTGCCGAGTTCAGTAGGAGAAACTCCCAAACCTTCAGAATCCCTTTGAAGACCCTCTAGAAACCACCTGGAAATCTCAGTAGAGTCTGCATCGGATTCCCCATCGTTTTTAACCTACTAGGGGTTATCTTGATTGATTTATTGCCGAAACTTCCAAAAACCTGGCTACGAAATTTTAGGTTTTCGCTTAGTCCTAGGTAAAATCCAATTTTCTCCACGAAGAAAAAAAATTTCGAAAAACTACTCGTATACTTTTGAAGAGGAGCATCTGACGGATCGAACTATGCAAAAAAATCGATTCTAGCTCCTCAGGAAAAGTTTTTGAAAGGTTTTTAAAAATTAGTTTTTGGTCTTTGAAAAGCGCGCTTCTAGAGACCTTGGCGGGCAAAGGTTTAGGTCAAATACAATTTTTAAGATATGTTCTGATTCAGTTTTTCAAGCTAAACAAGAATATGTCCTTTTAAAGTGTCTACGTTGATCCGGAAGCCCAGAAATTCAATTTTACAAAAATAATGTAAAAAACCAAGTTTTCGAAAACCTGAAGTTTTTTCGATTTTTTGGACAGAATATAGCATCGAAATAATTTAAAGGACATCTATTCGTGATCGCCGTAAAATTCTCTATCGAATGAGGTATAAAAGACGAAAATTAAAAATTTTACTCGAAGTTCGCCTTGCGCGTACCTTAGTTTTCTTCCTCATTTACTACTGCAATGTCACTTTTGGCGTTGATTTGTTTCGGGGAAAAGAATGCGCCATTCACACTATACTGTTTTGTCTTTCGCGTCTTCGTTCAATTCTATTTACCCTTTATCGCAGCTCAGGTTAGTTATGATATTTAACTTATTATTGTTCGACATTCATCTCGTTTGTTGCATGAAG